CGGACAGCATTCCAAGGCCCTTCCTCTTCCTCTCCTTAGACATACCACTGGTCTGACAGCACTTCCCCTCTGCCCGCTTTCGCAGAAGGAGTGGCGGGCTTCAGGCAGGAAAAGCCGAGGCTCTCAGACAGCACTCTGATTCCATCATTCCTGACCCTTCTTGTCAGCGGTTAGAAAGGTCTTGTGACATAGACTTCATTCTCTTGAAGAGAAAAAATATCTACATAATGTGGCTTTATCTGTGCTTTTCTTCAGTTGAACACTTTCAAGATGTTCAAAAGAAATAAGGACCTAGTCCCTTTAAGGAATAAAGTTATATTGTTCAGCCTGGGTAAATAAATAGGAAACAGCTGGGAACAGACATAATGACTGTGCATCTACTTAAGAAGGAACTTAATAATTTAACCCAACCCTCTCACTGTACAGATAAAGAAACTGGAACTCACAGAGGTTAGGTGACTAGCATCAGGGTCACAGCCCAGTTGGTGACAGACCCAAGACCTGAGTGTCCTTTGTCAGGATGAGCGACTGTCTTACCACACCAGACTTGCCATGAGAGAGAGGATAACAGAGGGTGCACATCCCTCAGGGAAGGAGGAAGCACAGAGACTGTGATCTCTGGGATTCAGAGTGTTCATACCAAATGGGAGAAAGATGACTTCCAGAGGTGACTGACACCTGAACTCTACAAAGCATCTGAGTGTGAAGGGAGAGGTCATGGTAGAAGAAAAAATAAGAGAAAAATATATATTTCTTTCATGAAAATGATTCAGTCTACTTCAGTAGTTAGGGACTGTGTTAAGTGCAGGTTAGCAAGGAAAAGTGAAAAACTGAAGAAAAGCTATTTGAGATAGTGTGCAGGTGTTTGCTGTATTTAAAAGATTTTTCCTTTACATTTCTTGATATTCACTTTAGCAGGAATATATTCTATTACCATCTAAGTGTTTCTTACCTTTGTTCTTAAAAACCTTTATTAAAAACACGTTGGATGTTATAATGCAGATTCCTGGGCTCTCCCCCAGAGTTATTGAATCAGGATCTCTCAGGCTTTCACTAAGAAACCTAAATGTTAAATAAGCTTTCCATGGACACTGACATTGAGGAAGCAATACCATCCATGATCCCATCGTTGCAGAACAAGACAAGCCCTGTCTGTCTCCCGGTCCTCCCGTGGTCCATTTCAGCGTTACAGACACTGTAGGTACAGAGACAGTGAGTGCCCTCGAATCACAAAGGCTGCTCAGAGTCTGGCAGGCCTGCCCTCAGGACTTCTCTCCTCACCTAACAGGGAAGGATGGATGGAATGGCCTGGTCTAAGTAGTAGCTGGTGTAACTTTAAGAGTCTATATTTTTAGGCCAAAAGTGCAAATTAAGTATTGTTTTGTTAATAGAAAATTCCACATTTTTCATCAATGAGTATGCATTTTCTTCAAGGTAAGGAAAAATAGTTAACTTACTAAAAACATGCAAGACAACAGGAGACATAATTACTGACTTCTTGGGCTCTCTGGAATTGCTGCCTCCCTCAATAAGGCCAAACCCAGAGCATTCCAACCCAGTCAGGCTCCCTGACCAAGCAGCAGCTCCTTAGAGTAAAGGAGAGGGCCACAGAAGGCCTGGGAACTGTCCCACTTTGCCTGCACAGCCAACTCATTGGTAGGGACAGGAACTTCTGAGAAGCAGGGCATGTGGCAGGGAAACCAGGTAGGGTGACAAGCCCCTTGAAAGGAGCAATGTGGCAGTGATGTATGTGCCTGGCTCTCTGCCTGGCCCCACTGTCCACACTCTTTAGAGTATGGCAAAGCAGCATATGAATATGCTGTTCTCATAGCCAATATGAAAGTGGGTAGAGGAAGAGAGAATTCAGACCTGAGAACTGTATTAAACTAAGGATCCCTGCTTACTCCCCCAAACAAGTGCACCATGCAGAGCAAAAAGGAATGAAAGAGTCAACATCCTTTTCATGCTCAAATTGGTGAGGAATTCTCAGAAATACATTTTGAGGAGAGATTCAAAATAGAGTAGTAATCACTACCTTTGAGGCTGGATTCCTGAAAGACAGTGAGTAGCACACAACTTCTGATTATCCTGCCTACCTAGGACACAGGTGTTGGCAGAGAGCAAAGAAGGTTGACACACCTGGGGACTTCAGGATGCCAATGCTACTGCCTTCTCAGTTTTCTGGAAAGCAGCACACGTATTACCCTGAGAGCTGAGCAGAAATTCCAGCAAACATCTGCCCACACTGAAGCAGGTCTGCCTCCTGCAGCAATGCTTGGACATCTGGAAGGGCTCAGAGAGTCCCTGCCTGTCCATTCTCTCCTGATAAAAGAACCCTTTACATGAGGTGCTCAAGGCCCTTTGAAGTCTCCAGGAAGACCACCTACCTTCATGCCAAAAGATGAAATAGAGGAAAGAGCAGAATACTGCCAGAAACTGAGCCCCAGCAACTCCAATAAGATGTCTGATTTTACACTAAACTGTATTTCTGCGTGTGCATAACAAAGTATACATAAAAAACACTAGCAAGAATTACTCTAAAATGCCAATGGCTATCCCAAGTGATTTTAATTTTCTTTACACTTTTCTGTACTTCCCAACTTTTCATCATAAAAGTGATATTTTCATAATCCTTTTATAAAATGTTACTTTGAAAGATAATAATGGCTATAACTTGTCCAGAGATGAACATGGCACACAATGGACAGATAAGGCCATTTATGTAGAGCAATGTCTAAAACTAGACAGAAAAAGTGGCGCAGAGATAGAAACTTCACATTCACTTCCTCACAGTGGCTTTATCGTTACCTATCTGTGAACTTCCCAGACCTCTGCCTAACGATTTCTCTCAGAGACGTGCTGGGTGAATGACAGAATTCCCAGCTCTCCTGCCCAGTCTTAGTTCATCTACGTATCAATAGGTGTTCACTGCGGCAGAGCCTCATGGATGGTCTGGGGCTGTCCCCTCCTGTCCGTGCTTGGCATGTGACTGGCCTGGCGCTTGATAGTCACCGAGGACCTGCCGAGGGAGTACCTTTGGGAAGGGGAGCCCGAGCAGCAGTGGGCATGGCTGGAGCACTGCCTGGCGAGCGAGCCCCAGTGCCCGCAGGAAATAAAGGCTTTTCTCCCGATCTGAGCTTTTCCCTTGACTTACTTCAGCTTCAGTGGATTCTTTGGTGACTCATCCCGGGCTGGGAACACCCTCCCCCTGCAGTTATAAGACCTTACAGATTATAAATATATTTTAAAAGTTCTTAACTTTAAATCACAACTTCTATACTATTAAAGCTTTTTGCCTGAGATGCCAAAAAAAAAAAAGGCCCAATGATAAAAGCAAATTTTCATGTGTTAATTTGTTTTCTTCTCTCTTTTGATACACATAGTAACAGGTAGTGAAAAACTAGTCAGGTGGAAGAATTATTTGTAAAATTACTTCTAAACAATTGAGAAGTTGAATATATGTTTTTTATATTATGGAAATGATGTATAAGCAGGTTTCTTAAAATCAAATTTGTAGTGTGCCGCACGTTTTCTTTGGGTGAAATGAGAGAACAAAAAACACAGACAACACAGACAGACAGACAATGGCTGCAGACCTGATATGGCGCAGCACCTTTATTTTTATACTGCCTTTCTCGGACCTCAGCCAAGTGCTATACTCATCTTTCTCTTCTCAGAGCACCTTGTTGATTTTCTTAAAGACTACCCAGTAAGCAGGGGCGGTGTTTTCACACATCCTCAAGGTCTCCCTGTTTTCAGAGTGAGGCCTTCTGGCTCATTTTCGAGGACAAGATATGCTTCAGTGGGCAGATAATGTCCAAGGACTGCACCAGTTGTTCTTAAGCTGGTGCTTTCCCATGCTGTATTCAGACGTGGGGGAAGGTGCTTTCCCATTCCGCATTCAGACATGTGAGAAGGCAAAGGCCATCATCCCCTTCACAAATTACATATGAGTAATATAACTACTTCAGAATTTCCTTCTCTAGAATAGTATACAGGTCCCTTATTAAAGATGCTTCATCTGCTTCACCTTTCCCCACTGAACAGTGTAGGATTCAAATCCATCTAGAGCTGAGGAAATATTATTGACCAATCCTATTTATCAGGTGATAACAGATAAACTCTGTATATTTTCTTGCTTCTTTTCTACATATTTTTTGCTTCTTCTTTTCTACATATTTTCACCACACAACATATACATAAAACTGTAATCTGATGAAGTTTAACTTGTTTGTCAGGATCCATCCATAATGCTTGATAATATTGTAGGATCTGAAAAATCAAAAGTTAGCATAAGTGCATAAGTACAGCCATCTTAAAGGGTTAAACACCACCCTCTAGCCTAGGAGAAGGAAAACTATTAGAATCTTGAAAAGAAAACAAATTAGTCAGCCAGTGTTAAATGTAGTGACCTTCAGTTAGCTAACCTCAAATCAGTTAATCATGAACACCAGGTGGTGGGCAGCTGCGGCCTTCAGACTGCTAACCTTGGTCGGATAGTCATGCATACCAAGCTTATCTTGCTAAAACACTGTGTAAGAAAATACTGTCTTTTTGAAAATGCTATGCTATAAAAACCTCTGGCTTAGACTATTTGGGGTCCTCGTTGAGACCCGCTGCGTCGGGCTAACTTGGGCCCCAGCTAGCTGGTTCCTGAATAAATTCCTCTTGCTTGTTGCATCAAGAGACGTCTTTCGTGAGTGATTTGGGGCAGCGTCCTCCTCTGGGAGAATCCAACATTTTGGGGGCTCGTCTGGGATCGTGCACTCACCCCGCTTCACTCCCGAAGCCGTTCTTGGAGGAAGAGGTAAGGTTAGTGGTGCCTTGAGTTGTCTGTGTTCTGTTTTCTGTTTTTCAGTGAGACCGGTCAGAATTCTGAAAGGGTACCCTCTGTCTGGCAGTCGTCCCGATCCCGTAAAGGGGTCGAGACTGCGGTCGGTAGACGTACTTGGAGCACAGTAGGCTGCAACCCTGGGGGATGCCTCGGGGAGAGTGGAGGGCCAGGGACGCCTGGTGGCCTCTCGTCTGTTTTTCCGGCAAAGTGAACCTGATGAGATAGGGTTGATTTTTGGGCGCCGGGAATATCAACCCTCTGATTCCTTTCGGTTTCTGTTTGAAAATCTGAGAAAAACAAAAAGCGGCCGCTGTGTGTCTAATGTGTGTGTGTCTTTGTTCTCTGTGTCTTTTACGTGCCTGATTATTGTTTTACTGACAATGGGACAGACAGTGACGACCCCCCTTAGCCTGACGTTAGATTATTGGACGGAAGTCAGAGCGAGAGCGCATAACTTGTCAGTAGAAGTAAAAAAGGGACCATGGCAGACTTTCTGTACCTCCGAATGGCCCACCTTCAATGTTGGGTGGCCCTCGGAGGGGACTTTTGATCTCCCCACTTTATTAGCAGTAAAAGCCATTGTCTTCCAGGATTCGCCTCAAGGACACCCGGATCAGCAACCCTATATCGTGGTCTGGCAAGAGTTGGTGGAAAATCCACCGCCCTGGGTGAAGCCCTGGGTGCAGAAGAAAACGGGCCCTCGAGTTTTAGCTGCCCAGACCCAACCCCAGAGCAAGGGAAAAGAAACTATTAAAGTTTACCCTGACACTCAAGATTTGCTTATGGTTGATGATCCCCCTCCTTATCCTCCTGCCCCTATGGCACCCCCGGCCCCGGCACTGCCGGCACCGGCACCCCCGGCCCCCTCAGTCCCTGATGCCGAGGCAGTAGGGCCGGCTCCGGGACCTGCCCAGGGAACTCGGCGCCGCCGAGGGGCCACCCTGGACCCACCGGGTATTTTTCCTCTCCGGTCTTATGGAGTTCCCATCCTTGGGGAAGAGGGGGAGCCGCCCTTCCAACCTTTGCAATATTGGCCATTCTCCTCTGCTGATTTATACAATTGGAAAGCTAACCACCCTCCTTTTTCAGAGGAACTGCAGAGACTAATGGGACTGATAGAGTCCCTGATGTTCTCTCACCAACCCACTTGGGATGATTGTCAGCAGCTCTTACAGGTACTCTTCACCCCAGAAGAAAGAGAAAGGATCCTTCTAGAGGCACGGAGAAACGTGCCTGGAACTGACGGACGACCATCGCAACTCCCTCATGACATAGAGAGGGGGTTCCTGCTGACCAGACCCAATTGGGACTTTAATTCTCCAGAAGGTAGGGAGCGACTAACCATCTATCGCCAGGCTCTGGTGGCAGGTCTTCGTGGAGCCGCAAGGCACCCCACCAATTTGGCCAAGGTAAGAGAGGTTAGTCAGGGAGCCACTGGGGCACCCGCAGTGTTCTTAGAACGCTTGATAGAAGCTTTCAGGCGGTATACTCCTTTTGACCCCACTTCTGAGGAGCACAGTGCTTCAGTGGCTCTTGCCTTTATCGGGCAATCAGCACCTGATATTAGGAAAAAGCTTCAGAGACTAGAAGGCTTACAGGATTTGTCACTGAGGGATTTAGTGAAAGAAGCTGAGAAAGTTTATCATAAGAGAGAGACTGAGGAAGAGAAGGAACTAAGGAAGGAAAAGGAAAGAGAAAGTAAAGAGGAAAAGAGGGACAGGAAGCATGAGAGAAATTTAACAAAGATCTCAGCCGCAGTAGTAGAAAATAAGGGACGCCCGCCCTCTAGTGGTAGAACTAGTAAGGCAGGGCCCCTGGGCAACCGGCCTCCTTTGGATAAAGATCAATGTGCATACTGCAAAGGAAAGGGGCATTGGGTGAAAGAATGCCCTAAGAAGCCACCGCGGGGACCTCCAAAGAAAGCGTTGTCTCTGCTGGAGGATGAGGATTAGGGAAGACGGGGCTCGGAGCCCCTCCCCGAGCCTAGGGTAACCCTGAAGGTGGAGGGGCAACCCGTTGAGTTTCTGGTGGATACCGGTGCTCAACATTCTGTACTGACCCAAGCTAGAGGCCCTCTTTCTGGCAAAAAGTCTTGGGTGTTCGGGGCCACGGGCCAGAAACAATATGCATGGACTACCCAAAGAACAGTGGACTTAGGAGTGGGACAAGTAAACCACCCATTCCTTGTCATACCGGAATGCCCCACACCCCTGTTAGGAAGAGACATCCTGACCAAAGTCGGGGCCCAAATATCCTTTCAGGCTGAAGATGCCCGAGTGACAGATCGAGAGAAAAAACCTTTGGGCCTAAGTATTCTGTCCATAAGATTGGAGGATGAGTACCGCCTTTTTAAGGAACCGGAACCCTCCCTAGTTAGTCGGAGGTGGCTCAACCAGTTTCCAGGGGCCTGGGCGGAGACAGCGGGTATGGGGCTTGCCGTAAACCAGCCCCCGGTGGTCATAGAGTTGAAAGCCTCAGCTTTACCAGTGACTGTGAGACAATATCCAATGAGTAAAGAAGCCAGAGATGGAATTAGGCCCCATATCCAGAGGCTCATAGAGAAGGGGATATTAGTAAAATGTAAATCCCCATGGAACACTCCCTTGCTGCCTGTAAAGAGAGAGGGAACAGGAGATTATTGACCAGTGCAAGATTTAAGAGAAGTTAATAAGAGGATACAGGACATTCATCCCACTGTGCCAAACCCTTATAACCTGCTAAGCTCTCTGACCCCGGAAAACACCTGGTATACAGTCTTAGATTTAAAAGACGACTTCTTTTGTTTATGCCTGCACCAGAATAGCCAACCGCTGTTTGCTTTTGAGTGGAAAGACCCCTCCACAGGAACTACTGGACAATTGACCTGGACTCGCTTCCCACAAGGATTCAAGAATTCGCCCACCCTCTTCAATGAGGCTTTACATCAGGACTTGGCCTTTTACCGAGCCTCCAACCCACAGGTAACTTTGTTACAATATGTCGATGACTTGTTGATAGCAGACCCTACTCGGAAAGCCTGCCAAGAGGCCACTGGAGCCCTTTTGACTGAACTTGCTAAATTGGGGTATAGGGCATCTGCCAAAAAGGCACAGATCTGCCAACAACAAGTGACTTATTTGGGATATTCCCTGAGAGAGGGGAAAAGGTGGCTTACTGAAGCCCGAAAGCAGACTGTGACGCAGATCCCGGTTCCTACTACTTCGCGCCAAGTTCGCGAGTTTCTGGGGACGGCAGGGTTTTGTAGACTATGGATACCCGGATATGCCACCTTAGCCGCCCCCTTGTATCCCCTAACCAAAGGGGCAGCCCCGTTTGTTTGGGGACCTGAACAACAGCAGGCCTTTGATGATATCAAAAAGGCCCTCCTGTCAGCACCCGCTCTGGCCTTGCCAGATGTGACTAAGCCGTTTGTCCTTTTTGTGGATGAATGAAGCGGAGTGGCTAGAGGAGTGTTGACCCAACAATGGGGACCTTGGAAGAGACCTGTCACCTACTTGTCAAAAAAATTGGACCCAGTGAGTAGCGGATGGCCTGCCTGTTTGAGAGTAGTGGCGGCCGTGGCCCTCTTGGTTAAAGATTCTGACAAACTGACACTGGGACAAAAACTCACTGTGGTTGCTCCACATGCGTTAGAGAGTGTAATCCGACAACCACCCGAGAGATGGATGTCGAATGCCAGAATGACTCACTACCAAACCTTACTCCTGAATCGTGATCATGTGGAGTTTGCCCCCCCTGCCATCCTAAACCCGGCCACTCTGCTCCCCGATTCAGGGAAGGAAGTGCTTCATACCTGCCAGGAAATCCTGGCCGAGGAGACAGGGACCCACCGGGACTTACAAGATCAGCCCTTAGGAGGACCGGGACTCCTGACTTGGTATACAGACGGGAGCAGTTACATCATGTATGGTAAGAGAATGGCTGGAGCTGCAGTAGTGGATGATGACCGGATCGTGTGGGCCAGCGGACTCCCAACGGGCACTTCTGCACAGCGAGCAGAACTCATCGCCCTGACTCAGGCTCTAAGGATGGCAGAAGGTAAGAGACTTAATGTCTACACTGACAGCCGATACGCTTTTGCCACCGCTCACATACATGGGGCTATTTATAGACAGAGAGGGCTGTTAACTTCTGCTGGGAGAGATGTTAAAAACAAAGAAATTTTAGATTTGTTAGATGCCATCCATAGGCCTAAGGAAGTAGCGATAATACATTGCCCTGGACATCAGAAAGATGATTCTCCAATAGCTCGAGGAAACCGGAGGGCGGACCAAACCGCAAAGCAAGCGGCTCAGGGAATGAACATTCTACCTCTCCAAGTGTATCCGGAAGCCACCCACATTAAAAGCTTCCAGTATACACCTGAAGATCTTGCTTGTATAAACAAATTAGGGTTCAAAAATTCCTCGCCCCACGAGATATATAAGTCTGAAAAAGGGAAAGTTGTTCTGCCCCAGAGAGAGGCAGAAAAATACTTAAGGCAATTACATCAATTGACACATCTGGGAGCAAAAAACCTAAAGACCCTGGTTCGGGACTCCCCTTATCATGTTATTGGATTAGGAAAATTGGCTGACGAGGTTGTAAGAAATTGTGTTCCCTGCCAATTAGTGAACGTGAGTAAAAATCAAGCAATATCCGGGAAGAGACTTCGAGGAGATCGCCCAGGAGCCTATTGGGAAGTTGACTTCACTGAAATTAAGCCTGCTAAGTATGGATATAAATACCTTCTAGTTTTCCTAGACACATTTTCAGGATGGACAGAGGCGTTCCCCACCAAAACTGAGACAGCTCAGACGGTGTCTAAAAGGATACTTGAAGAAATATTTCCAAGGTTCGGAATCCCCAAGGTAATCGGTTCCGATAATGGACCTGCCTTCGTTGCCCAGGTAAGTCAGGGATTGGCCAAGATCCTGGGGACAGATTGGAAATTGCATTGTGCATACAGGCCCCAGAGCTCAGGACAGGTAGAAAGGATGAACAGAACTCTAAAAGAGACCTTGACTAAATTGTCCATAGAGACTGGCTTATGTGATTGGTTAGTCCTCCTTCCCTTCGCCCTGTTTAGGGTCAGGAACACTCCCGGCCGCTTTGGACTAACGCCTTTTGAAATAATGTTTGGGGTCCCGGCCCCGCTCCAATCAGCTCATCTTCATACATTCCCCGAATGTACAACTAATAAGTTTCTGCTTGAAAGGTTACGAGCCTTGGAAGCCATGCAGAAAGAGGTGTGGGCCTCCATTAAGGAAGCCTATCGGCCAGGGGACCTCTCAGTACCTCACCAGTTCCAGGTGGGAGACCCTGTCTACGTGAGAAGACACCGGACGGGAAACCTTGAGCCGCGGTGGAAGGGACCTTTTATCATCCTCCTGACTTCTCCCACAGCCGTGAAAGTAGATGGTGTCTCTTCCTGGATACACGCTTCACATCTGAAGAAGGCACCCCCACCGGACCCGGACTGGCGAGTAGCTCGGACTGATAACCCCCTTAAACTCTGTCTATATAGAAAGAACCATGTTGCTAGCGATTCTGATGTTTCTGCCACTTCCAACCCTCCAGAACCCCAACCCCCATCAGCCCTATAGGCAGACATGGATCCTGACAGATGGACAGACTGGTAAAACCCTTAATGAAACTGCACACACTGCCCCTCTAAACACGTGGTGGCCAGATTTGTACTTTGACCTCAGGGAGCTTTTTGGGCTTATGCAAGGGAGGGAACACAATTACCATACCCTACAAAAACGGGCACTCGTTAACACTGCTCAAGGACGAGCACAAGGGTTCTGGGCCTGCCCTGGCAATCTAAGAAATAACTGGAAAACCTGTGGGGGCTTAGAAAGTGTTTACTGCAAAAGCTGGAGTTGTGTAACCTCTAATGATGGGCCTCGGAAGTGGGCAGTCGGGAATCGAGATTTAGTTAAATTCACTTTCAGAGACCCTGACAACAGGGTACCCCAAGTGTGCATGCAATTTAACCAAGAACAGGCCAAAAATGAAAAGTCCTGGGTGACTGGAATAACTTGGGGATTTTCAGCTTGATATGGGCCGTTTCGCCTGGGTCGGCCCTTACCCAAGTGGACTCTTAACTATCAGACTTAAAATCGAAACCCTTCCGGCCGTCCCAGTAGGACCGAATATTGTTTTACAAGATCAACCACGCCTTCCAACTCCAGCCCCGAAGCAAACCCTAATTCAACCAGTAGACCCTGTCATTACTCCTGCTGTCCCCGTCCTCACTCTTGATTCAGTAACCCCCTTTTCTAGCACCGGGCAACGCCTCCTTAACCTCGTTAAAGGGGCTTTCCAAGTTCTGAACACCACCAATCCTAAAACTACTGAATCTTGTTGGTTGTGCTTCTCTTCTGGGCCGCCTTATTATGAAGGATTAGGATTGTTGGGCAGTTTTAACAGGACAACCCGTCACGAGATCTGTAGCTGGGGGAGCCATAGGAAACTAACCCTGACTGAAGTAACTGGAAGAGGAAGATGTTTAGGTACAGTTCCCCCCTCCCATAAAGCTTTGTGTAATGAAACCATAGCTGTAACCTCCTCAGGTGAACATGAGTATCTAGTCCCTCCTCCCGAGGGATGGTGGGCTTGTAACACTGGAGTGACCCCATGTGTCTCTACTTCTGCCTTCAACTCTTCCCGTGATTTCTGTATCATGGTCCAGCTGGTGCCCAGGTTGATGTATCATGATGATCTCTCATTCGTAGCTGAATTTGAACCTAGGCGTAGATATAGAAGAGAGCCAGTCTCACTGACCTTAGCTGCATTGTTAGGGATAGGTGTCGCAGCCGGAGTGGGAACGGGGGCAGCCTCTATTGTCCAAGGGAACCAACATTATGACAGGCTAAGGACAGCTATTGATGAGGACCTAAGGACCATAGAGCAATCCATTACAAAACTTGAAGAATCTCTGACTTCCCTCTCTGAGGTAGTCTTGCAGAACAGACGAGGGCTGGATCTGTTGTTCCTAAAAGAAGGAGGACTGTGTGCAGCTTTAAAAGAAGAATGCTGCTTTTATGCAGACCATTTTGGAAGAGTAAGAGATTCAATGTCAAAGCTTAGGGAAAGGCTAGACCAGAGAAAGAAAGAACGAGAAGCCAGCCAAGGGCTAATTGAATCTTGGTTCACTAGGTCCCCGTGGTTTACAACCCTGATATCCACTCTGGCTGGGCCCTTACTCATCCTTGTGTTGCTCCTCACTTTAGGACCCTGCATACTAAATCGGCTGATAACTTTTGTTAGAGAAAGAGTGAGTGCTGTTCATGTGCTGATGTTGAGGCAACAATATCATTCACTTACCCCACAAGGAGACACAAACATTCCATGATTAGAATGCCCCTGAAGAGAAGTGGGGAAATGTAGGATCTGAAAAATCAAAAGTTAGCATAAGTGCATAAGTACAGCTATCTTAAAGGGTTAAACACCACCCTCTAGCCTAGGAGAAGGAAAATTATTAGAATCTTGAAAAAAAAACAAATTAGTCAGCCAGTGTTAAATGTAGTGACCTTCAGTTAGCTAACCTCAAATCAGTTAATCATGAACACCAGGTGGTGGGCAGCTGCGGCCTTCAGACTGCTAACCTTGGTCGGATAGTCATGCATACCAAGCTTATCTTGCTAAAACACTGTGTAAGAAAATACTGTCTTTTTGAAAATGCTATGCTATAAAAACCTCTGGCTTAGACTATTCGGGGTCCTTGTTGAGACCCGCTGCGTCGGGCTAACTTGGACCCCAGCTAGCTGGTTCCTGAATAAATTCCTCTTGCTTGTTGCATCAAGAGACGTCTTTCGTGAGTGATTTGGGGCGGCATCCTCCTCTGGGAGAATCCAACAATATAATTCATGCTGCTCCCATGTCTGAAGGTTGTGATTCTCTAAAGGGTGACATTAATAAAAGCGATTACTGTTACTACCAGATGTACAAGATGCCCAGGACCAGGACTGTCAAAGAGGACCATCTGGCATTTTCTTTGATGTAACTGTCATGAGATGGAATAAATAATAGGCTCAGAAACAGAAGACCTAAGTTTAAAACACAGCCCTACATTTTGGTAGTTAACATGTGAAAGAATATAGTAATTTATCCTCCATTTACCCCATGGTCTTAAGCACATAAGCCGTGAGAATCATGCCTGGGCTTGCCGCACCTTATCTCTAAACATCCCAACCCTCCCCCAAGGCAACAGGCCAAGTGGATCTGCCACAATAAAAGGCACAACTCTGCACTTTGCTGCTGCTCTCTGACCACTGTCCCACTGCCCTCCTGCTCTCTCTCTGTCTCTATCTTTCTCTCTCTCTCTCTCTCTGTCTAGGGGCAGCCACTTTCTCTTTCAGATAATAAAATCTCTTGCATGGGCCCATGTCTCCTGAGTCATTCTAGGGTAAAGAGGGTCATGGCGAGATACCCTTTCATTGGTGCCGTGAATTGAATGAGGTTCTCCCATTGACTTTGCTCTTCCTCTGGGAACCTGAGCTGCTCTGGGAAACCTCACTGCCTGATCCTCCTCCACGGGCTCACTGTCCATTTCCACGGTGGCTAATCTTCCCACCCAACATTGGCCTTTGATTCGGTGAGTCTCCCCTTCATGGTCAACTTAAATGACCCTTTGGAATCTGGGAAGTGACCGTTGAGTGTCCGGCACCCCCAAGGGCTCCTCCAGGACAGGGGCACCCCCAACCATGACTTTCAGAGTCACAGTTGATTCCTATAGTTGACCCTTCTCTGCCCCCCCATGGTTAGAATCCTCATTCACTGAGGCCCAGTCTCCCTTTATCTACATTTCTGCTCATAAACTCCTGGTACCAGGTACCAAGCCTCCTCAGTGTTTTCGCCTCGACCTCACAGTTAGAGGTGGTGATGACTCCCTAACTGTGCCTGGTCTTCTCCATGACCTTCTCAATCACTTAGGGATGCCTCAGCGACTTCTGAACAGTCTCGTTCTCACCATGGGATCTGGCCCCTCCATTCCCACAGATTCACCGCTCAGTAATCTAAAACCCCTCCACCTCACTCCAGACCTCAAACCTGTTTGCTACTGTAATGAGATCTGGCCACAAAATCCCTTGGACAATCAGTCTAAATGGCCCCCAAATGGTTCTTTAGATCCTAAAATTCTCTGTGACTTATACAACTTCTGTGAGCACACGGGCAAATGAAAAGAGATCCCACATATACAGGCTTTCTCCTACCTCTGAACCAAGCTCTCTCTGTCTCCCCTGCAATACTAAACACCTACTATTTGCCTTAAAGTCCACACCCCTAAGCTCTTTTCAGGTTCCCAAATATCCTCAACTGCCTATAAAACCTCGAGACAATGCACCACCACAGGCTCTCTTGTCCCTTCCTAGCTCACACTAAGAGCCCTGTCTGTCCTTTCACTGTATCATTACATCTCAATCTGTATGTTTGTGTGTCTAAGTGTGTAAAAGAAAAATATTTTTCTACCTCATTAATGCTAATTTAATAACTGAAATAGACATGTCCTTATGCTTATCAGCTGCCTAAGTTTACATAAAGTCATTTAAGTTGATGTTATCTGCTAATCTTTCAAAGAAAAATATTTAAAGTGAAGGGTAGCTTTGTTAATGTGAGTAAAATATCATAGTTGTTGGGAATGAATAAACTAAGTGCAGCAAGTGAACATCTTAATAATAATAGTGTGTTACAGTGTTACCTATAAATAGCCTGAGAATCTTTGTGGTAACCTAAAACCTTAAATTTTTGCAAAGTTTAGACACATTTTGCACTTAGTAAGATTGTGCTGCAAAGTACATGGTTCCAGAAATTATAAAATGTGTTCATAAATTTGTCAATCTAAAGAGTGCTAGTGTAACTTCTGCTTGTAAACTCCTGGTTTACAATAGCCTACTTCTCAGTGTTCACTGAAAATTAAGGTACTTAATAGTTTTAAGTTCTAATTAAAACTACTTAAAGTAATAAGGAAAACATTTCTACATGATAAAGAATGTGTCTTTTGATAAAAGAAAGTAACTTTGTTCTAAAGTACAGCTGTTTATTTAGAGGGAGAACACTGAATGTAAAAAGAAAGTTGTAGAAAGTTTGTGAAAGAAT